TAGCATTTCCTTTGAGCGCTTCTTATCAAACTGATCATGATTTGCACGTAAGTCCTCCACAGTGTTTCCTAACAAACGGAAATGAATCAAGGGACCCATCTAATATCTGTCAGATGCGGGCACAAAAGAAATCTGTCGTAAAGCCTTTTGCACCGATGCTTTACAGTGTCACACCAGCCCAGGAGCTCCATCCCAAACACGGCTGTTGGAAAGTGCCTAAGTTTTGATAAGAGATGTGTACGTTTCTGGGATTACTCCTCTTTGACGCTTTCTACTGTCGCACGCTTTCCTGTGAAAGTTCTGTAGACTGTAACAGTACTTGAAGTTGCCAAACTAGGAGCTCTATCTCTCAGCACCTGAATTGCTTTGGAAATGCTCAAGTGGAGAGTTCTCATGACACTAAATCATCTTAGAAAACATTCCATGGCAAGTCCACATACTGTCAAATTGGACTAGATACGCTTTTGGTGAATTAACTGAAGTGTCCTATTGTATGGCCGTTGAGAAACACCACAACCTCTACTGAAGAATTCCCATCTGGATCCTGGCTTCCACTGGGAGTTCCTGGGTGGGCTACGCAGCTGACACAAAGAGCTCTATTTGTTTTACCTATTGATCTGTCATTATTGGTTCTTGTTAAATGTATGGCTGTTGCCAAATGGATGGTTGTCTCTTTTCACTTTCTACCTTTTCTTCATTAGGAACCATGGGTGTCACCACTGCTGAAGAGCCACCGGCTGGTGTTTGCGGCAAACTGAATGATTCTAATTGTTGTCTAAAAATTGAATGATAATGAAGAAGTTGCTAAACAAATTGCCCACGGGTGAAATGCATCCTATTTTGTGTGCTGTTGCAACTCTTGTGTTTGTTCCTTGTGTGGTTCCATGGTGGATTCAACCTATACAACCAGCGGTATCCTCCATGGACTTTGTAAGCACTTCAACTGATGATGAACCAGTCCAACAGATCAGGGCAACCTTTGTAACCAAGCCCAAGAAGTCCCTTCTAACAACTGTGTAACATTTAACCCCCCTTACTCCCCACCCCTCTTTTCCCTTCTGCTTACTTTTTCTTTTCTTTCCTTTCTTTCTTTCTTTCTTTCTTTCTCTCTTTCTTTCTCTCTTTCTCTCTTTCTTTCTTTCTTTCTTTCTTTTTTTCTTTCTTTCTTTCTTTCTTTTTCTCTCTCTCCCCACCACCAGGAACGGTCATTTGCACAGCAGTTTCAAGCAATCTTGTTTGGGCTCAAAGCTTGCTTCCTGAGGTATTTCTTGTGATGAGACTGACTTGTTTAGGAGATGAGTGATGGGTGTTGCCGTGTGGCAATCAACATCACTGTGTGGACAATTTTAGCTGTTTCCTTCGGAAGAGAGTGCTCAGGACTGTTTACTGGTGGAAGATCTAGGCTGTGACCAAAGAAGTCCAGCTTGCTACGGGAGACTGGGGGATGATCCCATTGTATCCTGTGAAGGCAAGATACAAGTGGGCGCCTCCCTGCTCCCTCTTATCTGCTGGTAAGGCCCGGAAGATGGGAACAAAAGGAGTTCCTGCCGAGATCCAAAAGCCAGAAGCTCTCACCCCCAAAACAACTGACTCAACCACTTTGGACTTATAAATTTATGAGTTGGTACTACCATTGGAAAGGAGTTGCCATCATCGCTGTGGTGTCACCGTCGTCGTCAACAGAACAACAATGCCCGACGACCCACCACTACTGAAGATCAATGACTGAACTATGAACCACGCTGCATCCACGGTGGTGAGTATCTCCTTCTTGCTTCCTACAGAGACTCCTTGCTGCTTCTTTCCTATCTGTCCTATTGGCCCCCTTCCCTTCCCCGTTCCCCTCATTCATAATAGTGTCCGTCCTCCCCTTCCCCATCTCCCTGATTAAGATCTGCAATAAACTGGTCGAACCAACATTGGAACCGTTGTCCTGTAAGCCCCGGGCATCTCCCTAAAATCTACCTGTCGGCGCTGGAAGGGATGCACCGCCCACGGCCAGCCTCCCTTTGCTATTTGCTTCGTTTAGTCTTTACTTCAGCACGTGGCAGACATCAGTAACGCAAATGGCTGACCAAGCAAGCATCAGAGGTTTCCAACGCACTGAAGTTTGAAAGGCTTCAGGAAGCGCTGGCACATTCCTGTGTGCAGCAGCGAGGAAAAAGGAGTAACCGGAAAGCATACATATAGGTGTTGAGTTGATTTTATTGATGACTTACTCCA